AAAAAAAAAAGAAAAAAAATATATTGATAAAATTTATTTAATAAAAATTGATCTTAAAGAAATTAAAAATTTGATCTGAATTAATTGGATTGTGAAAAATTAACAAAAAATAAAAGACAAACGATAAATTAATAAGATTTTTGTTGGATATGATTATCAAAAATGCATCAAATTCTTGGACAATTGATGATGAAATGTTGTGAATAATTTAACGAATATTTAGGAGTTCATCGGAGCGCCAAATGCAAAAACCATCACTGCGTTCAACGTTATCATTTCGAAATGAACGTGATACATTAAATTTAGCGTCAAATGATTCACGTTCACGTTTTCCATTTTTCCGCCTAAAAAAAGAATGGAAAGAAAGGGGAAAATTCGAATTGGATGCAAAAGATGAATGGATAAGGTTGTTGCATTCGTTCATAATTTATTCAATTAAAAATTGAAAATTGATTGCACAAGATAGAAGATAAGAAATGAATCCCATCTAATTGATTTTTTATTGAATTTGAAAAATAAAATATTGATTTTTTCAAACAAACTAACATAATCGATGACATTTAAACAATCATTAAATTTTAAAAAAAAATGCATTCTTCTGTAGGATCTAAATTACAGATACAGCAAGGAAAATTTGAATGATATGTATAATAATGATTTCTATCAAACAAAACTACCAGAAAGAAATTATTTGAGATTTCAAAATGTGCCCAATGCGTTTGCATTTCAGCATGATCTCGAACAAACCACTGCTAAACGTGTATGATATTTTTCGCTTTTTTTTTTAACAATTATTCTCAAACTATTAAAAAAAAATAGGAAATTAAAAAAAAACTGAACTTATTCCATTTCATTTCATAAATTTTTCAAATAAGCATTTCCTTAGACATATATATATATATATATGTTTATCTTAATAAAATACTTCAGGTAAATAAAAATTTTTCAGGCGTTATGCTTATCACTATCAAGTGAAGCATTATCAGGAATGGATAACAATTGCAACAATAGCAATAATGGTAGTAACAGTAACAGTCAGTATCGGAAAGTCATCTTACGTCCACGAGTTATAGTGGATGGTGATTCACTGGATCCGACAATATTTACGCCATCCACTGATAATCTCGAAAATGACAGTGGAGTAGGAAGCCTTCAGGCTCGCATTCGTGATTCAGTAGTTTCTGCTCCAAGTCCTAGTCCAATAAATTGTAATTCTAGCACTATGCATACCTATTTCAGACAATCTTTGATCAACTAATTCTTATTAAATCTCTTCAATTTTATAAAATGATTTATATTAAACTGTATGGATAAAATCAATATTTTGAGTAATCTTATTCATATTCATATCTTTGATAACTTTTTTTCTTAATTGAGCAATTAAGCTCTGTAATTTAAATCTTTGTCATTTAATCCATGATGGATTGTAACAATATCATATTATAATGTCATCAATATCATTAAATATATTTTCAATTTTTATTTAAATGAATCAAAGGACTTGTCACTTGTCGCAAAATACCCATTTTCAATGAAATTTGTCATTCTAACAAAAATAATATTTTTACTAATAACTTTTTAAAATTTCTATATTTATTCAAATTCGAATGCATTTATCGTCTGTGCTACATGAATAGGTTCTATATTTCCAATTGTATTTTTTTTTTGTTTCTTTTAAATTCTGCACATTATTTTGATAAACCCGAGTTTTTTACAAATTATTGAAAAACGGAATGTTTTTCAAACATATTGGAGTGAGAAATCTTCTAAAATTTTAAATTGAAATTTCGCAGGTAAAGATTTTTTTTTTTTTGTTTGGAACCTTTGGTGTTTTAAGGATCTACAAGATAGTTTGTTTTTCCTGTTCAGGTGCGAAAAGAAGAGAGAAAGAAAAAAATTTTAATGATGATGATATAAGCAAATGTGTTCAGACTTTGCAATTTAAGTTTTAAACAAAACTACAATATATTTCAAGGTAAAATCAGTACATGAATTTATGATTTCTTCACTTTTCCTTTTCTATTTTCCATTTCCCTAATAAATATCATATAAATTTTAAAATTCAAAAATTGCAAACAATTAAGTATTATGAATGCAGCAACAAATTGTGCACAGATGAATATGAATTTCACAAATAATGCAAATTTCTCCACAAACTGAATTCAACAATTTTAAAAGTACCATAAGTTATGAGTAATTTACACTTTTCAACTAATGAAATCTACAAACTATGCATATACCTTAAAATATTAACTAATTATGATTATTTCTCTGCTTTTTAAGGTAATTT